TTATTATAAAGTGTTACCATTTTTTATTTTTGTACATACATTTAATTGTATTTTTACTATTAAGTGCTTTGTGCTTGGTCTGTGAAAGGTGCTGTATAAAAAACTTACTTACCTATAAGAAAGAGTCCTGCAAGTCACTATAGGACACTTAAAGCTAAGAGATAATTGGCTGAATGAGGGCAGCTCTCTCTGTTTCACTTTTGGATCAAAAAAGCGGATCCACTGATGTGACTGAGGCCAAAAACATTTGTAACATAAAATACCCCAGCCAGCCCGATATATTTTTCAATTATTCATCTACTTATTTACTTCAAACATGCAAAGGATATACAAAAAAACATATTAAAATAAGAATATATAAAGATTGATATGACCAACCAGCTGCAAATTCACTTGAATTGTATGTTTTCTCATTATATCCTGTATGAAAGTTCCTTTCTGTTTTGTTTGTTTTTTGTTTTTCTCTGCATTTTCTCTGCATAAGGTAACACAGAATATATCAATCTGATACTGTGCATTTCAACATTACGCACTTTCTGTTGCATTATCAAACTGTATAAAATGGTGAAAACCCTATAAGCAAAGAGACGTAATATGCTCTCGCTGCAAACGCTCGTACATTACACAAGCATAAGTCGCAATAAACGTGTCCCTTCTCTTGCCTTCCACTTCCTCTTGCCCTCTGCACCTGCAATTCTGAGCGCCAAACGGTACATTTACATTGGCCGTAACCTCAATCACCGGCTCAGGGACTGTGGTGGATGAGCAGACGTTTGTTGGAGGGGGGGCCAGCCAGTGCGTGCATGCAGAGGTATAATACAAGCGATAGACAGAAAGCCACGCGTGAGACATCCATCAAACCAAACGACTCCATTACAGTAAGTCGGACAGAGGCAAACGGTAATGTGCGCTGTGATAAACACCGGGATAATAGTGTGTTTATGGTCCCGGACACACTGTTTGTGCTGGGGAAGACTGGAGACGAATACAGATAAGATACAGCAGAAGCCACCTCTTTGTCTTATTCATTCTTTAAGCCACGTCCCCCCCCCCTACCTCCCCCTCTCTCTCTCTTTCTCCGCCTCCTTATCAGTCCATTTCCCTTCCCTTGTCCTTTTGTCTTGCGTTTGTATGATATTTTTGTTGAAGGCAGTGAGGGCATAATTATAAACACACTACTTTCCGATTGCAGTGTAAAGATGGTACCAAAAGAATTAGACCTGTTAGGACCATCAAACCTGAAGAGGGTTTTAGAAAGAGCTGTTACAATTAACTTTGGTGATAGAATGGTGGTGTTGTGTAGGATGCACATTTAGTCCCCTTAGATGGAAAGGGTCTATGTGCGTTTGGGGGATATTTGAGGTTTTAAAGGGACACGGTTTTTATATCTTAAATTACTTCTCGTATATGTGCCCCCAGATAACAGGCCAATGTATGCTAATCAATGTAGCCGTTTCTGAGCAAAAGGTAAAGGTGTGAGTTTATCTAAATACAAAATACAATGGAAATGATGACCAAAATATTTATGTTTAGGATTGTCGAAAAGGATGTGGATTGCGAGTCATTTTTCTTAATAACATTATTGACCAGAAATAGGACCAAAACATTTATTTAGATGAAAGAAGATACACACATAAAATAATTATAAGTGATAGATTTTGTACTGTTTCTAAACCCAGCAGGTGGATTGCATCAGGAGCAGTGCACGGGAGCTATATGGGTCACAGGCAGAAGATTCTGGCAAAAGAATGTTTGGATTGTACTGTTGTCACCAAACCCTAAACACTTTATTCTTTTTGTCGATATATCACACGACCCAACATGGTAAAGATCCACAGATATGATTTTCTCATGGCCGATAACTATCATTGGACGCAGTAGGACGCAGATGACCGATATATAGAGTCCCTATTAATCTGTGATAAATGTGAACATATTGGTGTTCATTATATGAATAAAACAAAGTCCAGCACCAAACTTTGTTTAAATGCCTGAAGCATACGCTTATTTTACAAGAGAAATAGAAAAGGACTGGATGTGAAACAACAGCAGAGTTATAGCTCCCCCAGAAAACAGATGGTGATTGATTTGATATGATTTTATCAGAATGAGGAGTCCTGTTGTATAAGTTAATTATGAACAAAAAAACCAAAACCAAACTAAATTAATCACACAATAGTTTAATTAGGCGCACATACAGGAAGCAGGACGGCGTTAAACATGTCTGGCACAGCTGTTGTGTTGATCAGGAGTCTATTACTAATATATACATGTTTAGTTGAGTTGTATCATTGTTTTTCCAATCTGTAGGGTGGACTAGACAAATAATTAGTCTTACTAAAAAAATATATGTATTCATATATATTTGACCCGTAAAAGATATTGATAATGGCCAAAAAACATGCACAGTAAGTAAATCATCCAGCTCTGGTAGTTTTGTACCAAGCCGAGCATCAACATCTGACAATGGGCCCCGGGCGCTGTACTTTGGCGGCCACTGCTCCTGACTGAGGCCCTAGTGGCATTTGCAGGATGGGTCAAATGCAGAGCAGAAAGTTCCCTACGGTGACACATCATCCAAGTCCTCAATCAATATTCCCTACTCTACAAAACATATGCCACATTTCTCTCTTTTCTTGTATATTCTGAAATGCACTCACTTTCATTAATCATGGAAGATGATGTCTCAAGGTTATTACCAATTTCAAAATGTACTTAAGAAAACCCACATTATGAAAACCTCCTGTGCATTCCCCACATGTTCACAAATTACATCCAGAGTGAACAAATGTAGCCACCAGGTTATAAATGGTGAAAACATGAGATGAGGGGAGAGGGGTCAGTGTTTCCTCTACGTTTCTATTAAGCCGCCAAGTATGAAGTGTTGATTAAGGTGCTTTCAGAAGTGGGCCGCTCTGTTTATGCCCGTAGTTAACCTGTATTACACCACTGCCCTCTCCTCCATCCTGGATAATGGGGGCTGCTACATGGGTGGTCCGCTCAGAGCTGAAGATGCTGGTGCAATATGGGTCACACTAAAGGCCACTGTCTATCTATCGCCTTATATTTAAGATCAGTTAAAGTTAACAACCCCATTCATCCTCTTTGCCCTATCAAACAAAACTACACCTTTTTTCACTTTTATGCTTCAGGCAGAGGCAATGTCAGTTTTTTTTTTACAGGCCCTGATAAAAGTGGGTAATCTCACGCCCACTTGAGGGGATGATGATGTGTAGGTTTATTAAAGCAAATGAGCCTAAAGCCAAAACGAGCCAAAAGATGGTTCTAGTGGGAGACGCCAGCGCTGAAGGAACGCAGCAAAACTGCTATTGTGAGCGGGCAGAATGCTCGAGAGATGAAGCATAAGTGCATTTTACTGCAATCCTCCGCTGAGTTATTGAGGCTCGATTGGAGGATTTCTCTCAACACAAAGTCCTTTTTATATGAGTGAGTAATCAAGCAAATATAGGGGAAAAATAAGTAAATTACACTTGAATTATTCAGAGAGAGAACTTTCACGATAACTTTCACTTGGTATCGGGCATCATTACGACTTCAGCTGTAGTCTGTTCATTGCTATTTACCTGCTGTACCATTGTCTACATCTGACATTTATTAACATTTATGGACATCGGTCATCTGCCCCTTATGGATCAATGGGTCTTGTGTTGTTTGATTCTCTGATCTGTTTTGGCGAAATCAACGGTTTTGTTAAGTCCTCACAGATACTGGGAGTAAGTAAGTGAGTAAGTAAGTTATCTTTATTTAAAGCCCCTTTCACAGACCAGAATCACAAAGCGCTTTGCATTCGTTGTGGGCATTTGTCTCTCACTCCACGCAGAGATGGGAGTGAGGTCACCATACAGAAGGCTTGCCAGACCTATTGTACATGTTTTTAGTGGTAGCGGAAAGCGGAGGAGGACATCTACGCAGACACATGGAAAACATGCAAACTCCACCCAGAAAGGACCCAGGATCTTCTTGCTGAGAAGCAAGTATGCTATTCACTTACTCTAGTCCTGGATCTAAAGCCTGTCCGTCTGCGAGGGTTGATTCCTCTCTCAATATGGGAATCCCAAGGCTTTTTCACTTTCTTCTCTACTTGTTGTTTGTGGTTGATGCAGGAGGGTCTAAGGACAGTGATGATCCAGGACATTTAAGGACTTGTATTAACATTTGTGAACATTGGTCATCCTGCTCCTTATGTGTTTGTTATTATTGCTTACAGTGTTCGAACTGTTTTGTTCTTTGATCTGTAGTGAATTGACAACTTTGTAAAATCCTCTGAGAAGACTGCTGTTATGATTTAGGGATATACTTTTTATTTATTTAATTGAATCGGTGTGTTTAACATCAACACGGCCCTGTGTTTGACCCCAAGACAGGTCCTTTCTGTGTGGTTTGAATGTTTTGTGGTGTCTGCGTAGGATTCCTCCCGCTGCTCCTGTTCCCCTCCACTAAAAACATGTACAATTGTTCAGGGTGTTTGTGTATGTGTGTGTTTGTGTACGTGTGTGTTTGTGAACGCGACTATAGGACAACAGATGAAAATTTTCCCAATGCTACAATCCGGCGAGATGTATTCATTAATAATCAATAAATATGGTTCTCTTCAAACACTCACAGACTGCAGATTTCTCTGCAGCATCAAAGCAGCTGCATACCATGGTTGGAATATAGTTGGTTTCACTTTCTCAGAAAATATAAGTCAATTCAAGTAAAGATTATCGATTTGGTCCTGTTTTGATGCTGGACCAACAACAATTTATAACAAGTCTGCCATTTAGCAAACAAAATTGTGTTCCAAATGCCCTTTAAGTCTTCATATGCTGTATCTATTCTCTTGATTGATCATTTGTTTTAACAATATTGCCAGTATACAAAGTGCTCTTCACCTCTGCCCATGCCTGCCTCCATACTGTGTATTTGGAATATGAGCTATACAATAAATTTATCACCCAATAAAGTTTTATGGTCAGTGTCATTACAGAACATTGGGGTCATGCAGACAGTTTCGAGCCGTGGAGTGGATTTACAAACATGCACACTGTGCCACACAAATCAGTCATACACTGTGGCTCACGCCAACAGCTGGGATCATTCACAGGTCCCCCTCTCTATATTTTCTAATGGTTTGTTAACCACGCTAAAAATGGGTTTTAGCATTATGAAGTCAGAATATATGACCATAATTATACTTTGACATCATTATGGAAACCAACTTTCTGAAGGAAATAGTAAGCATACAAAGCATTTACAATTAGATTATATATTTAAAGGGACAATTCATAATAAGGACTCTTAGTGGTATCATGCATTACTATTCATATCTACTGTCAATAAAACAAACGCGTGGTGCAATATTACATGTGTGAATTTTTTTAGAAAAAAGCCAAAAGCACCAACATTTCACCTCAACAAACTGACAATCAAAAATAGACCCTCATTCTGCTCTCTAATAGGATCGTATTCATGACCGTTTTATTATTGATTATGAATAACTCCACTTCAAACCTTTGTTCAGTAAAGGAAAAAATATTTTGTACAGGATGACCTATTATCTAGGGACATGTGTCGATGTAACCTGAAAATATTGCATACAGAAAACTCTTGCATGCTTTAAATTATTGATTTTACTTTGGGTTCTCACGTTGCTGTCTTGGCATTGTCAGAACCATCTTTAATGGGAGATTACCAATGGGACAGCTTCGATGGTTAGCACGAGTGAATGGTGAATGTAAAAGCATGATAATAATGGATATATATAAATCCTAAAAATATTGTATATTATCAATAACATCTGATTGGACTTCCTCTTGAACGTAAAATCCAATGCAGTTACAAATAGCAATGCTCCATTGACACCTGTTAACAGTGAATGCCTCCTCAGCCTGTTCTGTGAACCGGTATCTTCACAATTGATCTCAGAAGATAACAACATTATCAGCCCCACAGAGAAGACCAATGTCCAACCTCACACTTAAGCGGACCGGATATACATCATACAGTAACAGGAACTGGTAAGGGTAATCAAGATGCTTGTAGTTGAATCATATGAGATATAACTTTGCAAATTGACAACACACAAATGCAAAAACAACACAGACAACACAGTTTGGGGTTGCTCCCAAACAGGTCTGACCACTCTGCTTCAGTATACATGACATGGGTTGTCCTGTCCAAACAGTTTGCACTCGTACTCACAGCCAATACGGGGCAGCCAGCAAAAAGCATCACATTTGTAATTTGTTTCTAAATTGACTCTGAGGAATATCCCAACATTGACAACAACTCCAGCAACTAATTAAGGATACAGAATATACGGAATGGACACAAATGGGAAAGGAATACGCTGCTTTCCGTAATCGCCTTCCATATGCGGATCCCACATGTGTTGATGGTCGTTACCCCAGATAGCTCAGCTGCTATGTGCCTAAATCATCACTTTTTCCTGCCGTCCAAACATCACAAAAAGTTGAGTTCCTTCAGTTGACTCATTATGAAGAAAACCTCCTCTCACCACCCACAGAGGGATCCTTGGGGCATTGGTGCTGAGAGGACACAACATCTGGCTGTTGGGACGTGGAATGTCACCTCACTCGGGCGGAAGGAGCCTGAGCCCGTGGGGGAGGTTGAGTGATACCGACTAGATATAGTCGGCCTCACCTCCACACACAACTTGTGATCTGGACGCTTCATTTCTCTGTCGCTTCTCGCAGCGATCGGATGAGGGGAGTTTTCTGGTTTTCACTAATACCATGAAGCCATTCTCATTGTATTCTGGCACAGCTATTACCAAAGTACCACAGGTTGGCATAGCTATTTCCAACGTGCTAACCAATTGTACTGCTCTGCCACAAAAAACAGTGTACCTGTACACTGTACTGTACCACAGAATCACTGTTAAAGAGAAACTAAAAACCTACAGTGTACTTTGTTTTCTTCTACTCAATTTGTCTTTCACCTCATCGCAGTTTTTTAATTAACCTCACTCAGATCAATGACCATCTGGACCAACAGGGCTAAAAGAACCGGTCCAGACCCAACTCCTGTGTCCACTCATGCTGAAAAAGAACAAACGAGTGCATTTGCGGCTGCTCAGGGCTCACCTTGCAGCCGTGTGAGGGATGGATAGAGACCACGCACAGGCCAAAGTACTGTAAATCTTTTGACCTTGGTCCTGGCTCTTTAAGCTTTCTGTGTGAGGGAGTTTAGCCTATAGCCTTAAATATTCCAGTGTAGCTCGCCTGGTGGCAAAGTGCTGAGCTGGGAAGAAGTGATAGAAGCCAGACCACAGCATTCGACTTCCTCCAGCAATTAACAGAGCAGCGGGATGTCAATGCGGCATCCTCCACCCAAGGCATATAGCAGCAATGGATATAGGCCCATTATCGTGAACGGGCTTTTACTCAAGCTTCAATATGATTTGAAGGAAACATATTAGAAAAAATCCACTATTTATCTTTTTTGACCATGCATGTCACTGTAGTGATCCTAACCAAAGCAAACCAGCAGATGTTTTTAGCTCAATACACAGTAATACAAGGAACTTCTGGCACAAACATGTTACCCTTCCCCTTCTGTCTAAAAGCTCCTGTCTCGGTCTTGTTAAAGTATGATGTCATTATACAACTATGACAACGATCCTTCTTTATCTTTGGCTCCATTTTAGTATATACAATTCAGTAATGGATCATTTTGTTCAGAAATGTCCACCAGAAAAAAGCATTCAAAGTTGTGTGAAATATTAGTAATTTTTGGTCAAAATACATATATCATATCAAATGAAAGTCTAAAATCAAAGCCTTGGTCCCTGATCATAAAAGCATTTGACAGCACTTTGGCCAGCAGCCTACTTCTATGTATTCATTTTGCCCTTGAATAGTTTGGGCACCATATTTTATAAGCCAACTCCGATGTAATACTGTATGAGCCCCTGGAATGATGCATATTGTGTGATTTATCATTCACCAAATCTTACAAAAATTATGTTTGTGTATCTTTCAACAAAAATACAGTATATGGAGACTTACCAGTGACTATGAGCTCTGTCGTCCGTCTGACCCAAAAGCCTCCGAACTGCACTTCACACGTGTAATTTCCAATGTCCTCCTCCGTCACCTCTTCAAACGTCAGATTGCTTCCTTTATAGAGGATGTTGGCACGCCACTGCTTCGGACGGCATTCCTGAACATCACAAACACACACACACACACATATATATTTATAGGTTACACTACACCTTATTTAGATATTGAACAATCCATCAAATTGTCATCCAAACAAAATGGCAGCTTATTCGGACTTGGCCAACGTTGACTTTTGCACTGGAGAATTTCCCAAAGCATATAAAATGTCACGAACCATTAGGGGCAAGGATGCTATTATGTAAAATCCTATATTTTTAAAATGATAAAGCTCTGGCCACTATACTGTTTATCCGATTAAGATTTATTGCACCGAACAGAATATTCTCCTTTCAATAATCCGGCAAGGCCACACAGGACGTGCAACGTTATTTACCAAGGTCTCTCCCGGCAAAATCCTCCTCTAACTGTGTGTGTTCCAGAGGTATCTAGTCTCCTCTTTCCCCAAGACGACGGCTGCATAAGTGTATCCTATTCACCACTGCTTCAGGCAAACCTTTAAATTCAATCACCCTGGTTTGTGGTTCCAAATAACTATATGTTCCAGCGCTCCCAGTCATTACAGAGAATCTAATTGAATTGTTGGTAGGATCTAGAGGTCGGGCTAATCAAGTGGTAATCTGCCTGTGATTACTCTGGCCCGGTTCGAGAATGCGCCCCGTCGGCCGCCAGCTATATCTGACCCAGGACGAAGACGAAGGTGTAGCTGACATGTGAGTGAGGGAGGCTGAATAGATATAAGGGACAAGGAGCTTTTGGAGGACACACGCTTCACAGGATGGAGGGTGATGACAGCCACTGGTAGTTTCATCACTTAAGCTATCACTGCTTGTGGTCTGAAGACACTGCAAAAAATGATATAAAATATGAGGTAATAATTGCTTGAATCGAGTGGTTTTTAATCTTCATTTGAATAGATTCTTAAAGCAATATTTTGCCAATGCGACAAAGCCATTTAGTCTTATTTCAAGAACTGTTACTTTTCATCATTTGGATTGTGTAGGATTTAAGGTGGGTAAGAGAGGTTTCTATAATGCTCTTATTTTTATTCAATTTGGTTGCGGCATAATTCCTGATGTTTAATATAAATTCATGCTTTACAACAAGCAGCAGTTTGTAAAAGATAAGTTGAGTAGTATGTTAAAGTGTAAAAATTGGAAGCTCACACTTGGTTTGGTTGTCATGAGATTTCACTAGTTTTCACATGTATTATTGGTCTTTGTCACATTTTTATATCTATTTAATAGAGGATTACCCCCAGCCAATTGGCTCAAAGGCTTTTAATTAAAAAAGGTCCTATATTTCTCTTTTCTTATTTTTTCACAGTCCATGCTAAGCACATGTGTGATAATGATTTGGGTGATACACCATACGACACTCAAAACTTAGAAATTATAGCCATTTTTTGCAAAGAGTTGTGAGCCCGCCTTCTGACTTTGTAAACACCACAGTGCGGCGGCTGCGGCTGTAAAGTGCCAAACTGTTGTTGTGTCCTTAGACAAGACACTTCACCCACATGGGGCTGGAAAGTCTCGTCCCAGAAGCACTTCCGGTTCTTTGCTCGGATACAAACCGCCAGCTGTTCGAAGAGGCGGTTTAATGGAATGGTTTAATGCTCTGCTTTGTTTTCGGCTGTAATCATCAAAGTTTACGCGACGCATGCTCATTTTTTAAGTTTCCCAAAGACCAACAGTGGGAAAAGCTATGCAGTTCTGATAAAACATTTTGTCTGATTTTACAGACGGTTAACTTGAATATATATCAAAGCTAACTTGTAAATAGTGCGCGGCCGAGCCTTTAATTGTGGCTTGTATTTTTTTTATTTGAGAGATAAAGGAGGAACAATGCATATTAAACAACATTTAACAAATGTTCAAATATAACAGAAAACAGACAATCATAATATTAGTAATAAATGAATAGGTAACCCAACTACATCGTGTTATTTTTTCACCATCGACTCCCACTGACTACTGTCGTTGTGTCCTTGGCAAGACACTTAACATCTGGGAACACCAGCCACAGTGGGGCGGCTGCGGCTGTAAAGTGCCAAACTGCCGTTGTGTCCTTAGGCAAGACACTTCACCCCCATTGCCTAGAATGAGTCTGGTGTGTGTGTGAATGGTTGGTGGTGGTCGGAGGGGCCGATGGCGCATACTGGTTGCCTCGCTTCTGTCAGTGTGCCCCACTGACACTGACACTATTTTTTAATCCACTGTCAGTGGATTAAAAAACAATGAGTTTGAACACGGCCCTGCACCTTTCTCATCTCCCCGTTGTTGTATATTTTAATATTTGACCATTTGAACATCATAGCCAGAAAGACCTCTGTGCACTCAGGAAAAACCCCAAGGACACAGGATAATCAGACATGAGTCATAAAGATAAAATGCTGTTTAAACAGGGCGAATTATTAACTTTAAATAATAAACATTTTGACGAGGACAAGAGTTCAGAACCTGAATCTTGAGGCAGACTGGGAGATTCACCAACTGCATTCTGACGCCTCCCAGTGGACAAGGGACGTCAGCACACCCGGAAACTCCACCCCTTGGACGCATAAGGATGACGTCATCGGAAGTCTCCCTCATGAGCCCGTGTGTGTGTTTTTTTTGAGGTCAGACAGGACAGGGCACGGACAGGGAAAGAGCAGGCCTAGAATAGGAGCACTTTTGTTGAACATTCTGTATCTGATTGTAAAGATAATTAAATGCAGATGTTAAACGTGAAGATCTCTTGTCTCGCTCTTGCATCGACTTTGGATACGTCAGTCAAAGGGAATTATTGACTTCATTTTGGTGAATCCCGACGTGATCGGGGCAGGAGCGGGACAGAGATGAGCTCAGTTATAGAGACTGGATTTGTGGGTTTGGAAAAATCTCTCTGCTCTTCAAAAAGGTCGCTTCTAAGGTAAGCGGATCACAGTTTTGGAAATCTGCACATTGTTTTAAATAGAAGAGAGAGAGATTTTGGCTCGACAGATTGCAGCGTGGCCAGACGACAGCCGTGACGGGGCGTTCTATCGGACGCGATAGAACAATAGTCAGGTTTAGACGTTTTAACCTTGGGGGAAGCATGGGTCCCTCCAAAAAAAACAGAACATAGATGTTGAAAAGAGAGCCACAGGATTTAGAAGTGCAAAAGAGGCACACCGTTTTAAGGTGCAAAAGAGGCACAAGAGTTTAGATAAATAGGATTAGAGAGATAGGGGCAGTTAGGGTCAGAAGTGATAGGATAATAAAAACTCCATATCCCCCGGGGGGCGGAAAAAAGGGTACATTTAAACAGAAAAAAGCCAAGTATTTAAAATGTGGATTCTGATAATAATGATCTGATTAATGAGAAAAAAGGGAGCCACTTGGCTGTAACTATGAGTTTTCATGTGAAGAAATGACAAAAGATCAGTCTGGGAGTTTTTCTCTTGTATTGGGATGTAATGTTTCGACAGTTACAGAGAATCAGGGAAAAAAAAAAAACAAAAAAGATTCTGCTGGAACTCTCGATACATTAATCATGTAGCAAATGGTAATGTTTTCCATTACTGACGTATTTAAGGATAAAATGTAAAGTGTCGTTTGACGTGAGAAAAACTTTTACCACTGATTAAGACCATATCACGATAAAAACGAGGAAAATGTAGCAAAGAAGGGGTGTATTTCAATCATCCATGTGTTCCTTTGTTCGAGAAGCCCCTCCCCTCCCTCGTTCTGTCTTCTCTCTCTCTCTCTCTCTCCCCTTCCTCCTCTCTCTCTCTCTCTCTCTCTGTCTTTCTCTCTCTCTCGTGAAGAAAGAATTTTTTGTAGAAAATTACATTTATACACACGATAATGTTACTAACATGGAGTCATAGGATCACAGAACTTTGAGTTAGATTATAAAGAGGCATTTTTTTTATTTTTTATCTCCAAGGCGTCTAGACAAGTTTTTTTCCCCTACATTTTGGTGATATAAAAGTTAGAATGATCTTAGAGAGCATTATACTTTTGGAAAAAGTAGGGCTTAGGATACCAGTTGAATGCAGAATTGGTTTTCAGAATTTAATGTTTAAAATGTTAATATTAATTATTTCATAGGTTTATTTTGAATTGTAATTAATCATTGGTTTCGTATGGTAATTAACACACTTGTTTGTGCTTCTTGTTTGTCTGTTTTTTCCGAGAAAACTTCTGTCTGTCTCATTTGGCCAAAATCGTCTGCCACAAGTCCTCAATCGAGCGCCATCAGCACGGACCATCTGCGTCTCCCCCGTTTCACCCACAGGGGGCAGCAAAGACAGCAGCATCGGCTGCAGCAGCTAACAGGAACTCTCGAAGAAGACCTCTCCGGCCTCCATTTCATGGAGAAGAACCAGACTTTTGCACAAACCGAGTGGAGTTATGTGCACGGAGTAGAACGTTGTATAAACCTAACAAGAAGAAGAAAGACATTATGAGGAAAAGATTGAAAGAAGAAGAAAGTGATTGAAAAGAAGAAGAAAGACATGAGAAAAAGTTGTCGGAAGAAGAAAGAAAGTGATTGATTGAAAGAAGAAGAAAAAAGACATTGAGACAAAGACATTGGACACTTTGAGACAAAAGACACTGAAAGACACCATAAGAGGAAGACGTGGCCAGGCTAAATGAGACAGACAGAAGGTAAATATATACAGACAAACAAACGCACAGAGACATGTGGAATTTAAGTCATATTTATACATTTAGCTAGGTCATTCGTTCATAACACCACATTTAGCTGCATGAAAGAATACAGGACAATCGTTAAAATTAATTAGACTCTTGCTTTAGCATGAGACACAAGGAGATTAGAACAGCAGTATATTTAAGGTAGAGGAGCCCTATTATTGAAACTAGTATTATTATTTAAAGTTATAGACGCGGAGAAGTTTAGAATTATTGATTTTAACTGCATGATCTTGGTAATACGGATATTTAAAGCAGTGTTTTCAACCTCTGAACCGTGGCTCGTTTCTCATTTAAAAATAGTCACATGCACAGTTGAAACTGGTGCTAGAAAGAGAACTGCAGCTTTTAATGGACGCTG